ATAATGAGTCTGACTTTACTCGGACTTATATTGGAAAATTAGTCTTGTAGGTATAATGAGTCTGACTTTACTCGGACTTATATTGGAAAATTAGTCTTGTAGGTATAATGAGTCGGACTTTACTCGGACTTATATTGGCAAAACTAGTCGTGTAGGTGTAACGAAAACGACAAAATCAGTCCTCTAACCGTAAAGCTTAGTCTTGTTTCAATAAATGAGTTGACAAAATTCTATAGCCAGATAAAATTGGTTCAATTAGTCTTGATACGAGACTCATCCATGCATTCCGTACCAACATCAGTTGTTGACAAAATCATCCGCGTAGCAAAATTAAGAATGGCAAATCAGATCTAGAGGCAAAAAAACAAAAAAAACTATCAACGTCAGTTATGTACTTGTGATACAACTTACAAAATCAGTCCTGAAGCCAACTTGGACTGGTAAAAGTAGACAAGTAGCCAAATTAGGACTTGCAGAATTATCCAATAATTTAGCTTAAAAACAGTCACAGATGAGATATTAGGTTAGTGTCTTGAGTGAAAAAGAAATACAAATCAATAAATGTAAATGAAGAAAGAACAAGGTGTTTTAAAAGTCATACAAAACATCAAACTCCGTAAGCATACACCAAGACCGTTTTACTTCAACAGATATGATGTCGAACTCCTAAAGTATTAATCAAGTATCAAGTCGTTTCACTTAATCATAATAGTTTAACCTTAACGCTACAAACTGCTGAATGCAGTTATGAGTGCCACCTGTTGTTACCCAATTGCCTGAATGTTGAAACAAAGAGTACTTCGAAAGATATTCCGTAACATAAATTTCAGATCTGCTTGTTAAACATTTTTTTATTTGTCTTCAACTTAAATATTTTAGTAATAAAGCGATAAGTTGAACTAAGCAATTGCTTCAACATCTGCTCACACCCAGTGGCTCAGCGAGGTAAGCATGAGGGTTTATAATGCTAAAATTTAGGGTTCGATTCCTGCGGTGGGCCTAGTGCACATAGCCCATGCTGCAACTTTGCGTAACAACAAAATCTTCAATTTCTAAATTGATGGCATAAAAATGATCTCTTTTTTCAAATCTGAAACTGTTTTATAAATCAATTGCCATTTTTCAGGCTACAGTTGCGAATGTCAGTTATTCTTTGAAGATTCATACTTTTAAACAATTTATTTAGCGCCAACCTGGATCTTAACTCTAAAGCTACGACTGACTACACATTTGTGTCTGAATCACACATAGGTGACGACGAGTTTTGTTATGAGTAAATCTAACAGTTCTACCGTGATGTTCTCAAATAAATCATCTTATGAAATTGAGAGAATGAAACTGGCTCGAGTTCAAGTTTCGTCAGGGTCGAATGTTTTCTTAACTGCATAAGCTAACGCACGATAGCTAAACCTAAGGGAAAAGAAACTTTCTGAGAATACTTTGATGACAAAATTCATTGTGACACCTCTGGGGCTGAGAGTAAACAAATTCTTAGTTAGTAACCCCCTACTAAGTTAAGAACGAACGGATCTCAATTTCTCTCTCTCCACACATGATATACATTCATACATACATACATGTGTGTGTGTGTGCGCGCACGTAAATTCTGCGCTATTTTTTCGGCAGATCCCTTTATTTGCATTTCTTTAAGGTCTAATTTAGAGTAAACTGTATGTGATTATTATACAGTTTTTCTGTAGGTGACAAGAAAAACAAAGAAAAAACACGATAAAAATTCAGAAAAATAAGACAATTCCTTCGAAATAACAGTTTAACCATAGCGTTACAAACAGTTGAATACATATATTAAGACAATTTTGAATATACAAATAAAATAGTAATAATATAATGATGCGGTGGAATAGCATGTATCCGAACTATATTTTGAGGTTGTAACATTGTTTGTTGTTTTATACTCAGTGTGACACCACTGAAAATTGATTATCTTTGGTTACAGCATGTAACAAACTTTTCATACATCCAGATAATAAAGATGTGTTCAGACTGGCGATTTAGAATTTTCTGTACAGGGATATTTCTTGTTCTTAAAGACATTGTAAAACACGGGAATATGGATCATCTTGGGAATTCCGGAAATCCAGAAAGATACCTACAGCAAATCGTGCTTCAGCAGTGGCAAACAAAGTGTTAGCGTTCTGTGATAGGTGTGAATCCATGAATACAGAGGTAAGTGTCAATATCTGATTAATGTCTTGCATCTACACTTGTTATAACTGATACTCACTGACTTTTTAAATATTTTAATACACCATATATATATATATATACATATACAGGAGGGTTAAGTAATTGGACTTTACTGATCCTCCCCCCTTAATAGCAGCCAAACTCAAAATCCTATGCACGCCCCTAGAAAATCTAGTAATATCCCTAGTCACGATCAGTCGTGCTGGAACATTCATTAATAGGCCTAAAAAGTTAAGGAGTAGCTTTCTTTGCTGCCACTGATCTAGGAAAACATCAGTTATTAACCTTAGTCATAGTAAATATTTCTAAATGATCACTTAGTAAGCTTACTGCCAGCAAAAGTCCTTAAAGATTAATTAACAACTCTGACTAGTCTTATGTTTTTCAGAAAGTAAATTAGTGGCTATGAAATACCAATTAGTTAGCATATGAAAATGATTAATGGCTTGGTAAACCAAATAGTGGACCTAGTCACTTTTACTTGTCTCGGAATATATATTATTTTTTCTCGACAATATTAATAGTTTTGAATCATCCACAATCGCATATTAACGGCCTTAATGTTTACTTATCATTGGCTCTGGAAAAAAATCTTGAAATACAAAAGTATTGAAAATTCCTAGATTTGGGTAATTAAAACTGTACTAAAATGTTTCGGTTTGTTTTAATATATAAAATAAAACGTTTGACATAATGTTTATAGCCGATTATAATTACTTCTGAACAACGAACACCCCAACTTAAGTCTCCACCAAAAGAATATTATACAGTTTTTCATTTCACACTTTTTCGGGTTAACAGGTGATAATGTGTTTTAAACTTAGATATTGGAGTCATTCTTTCTTATACAACGTAGCCTAGAAAAATGACGTGATATTTTTGTAAGTGTTCTGAAAAAGAATAAAATACAAAGGAGACAAGCGTCGTGTACTACTTATAAATTACTCTGCCGTTTCAAAGTTGGTAGATTCTTCTGAGGAACGCGTTGGAAATCAGCCAACAAGAGAGGAGAATCTGGAATAACCAGAGAGTGGTTTAACACCATGCTACCATAAGAAACGAACTTATCCTACCGAATGAGAAACGCGTTTGCTCATCTTAGGTATTTATCATCCCTTTAGAACTACAGATTCGAGCTATTTCAGTTATCATATGTCTAACGAGATCAGTA